GCTAATAGAAAAAGCTTGTAGAATTTGCCCTCCCAAGTGTGACTTCACAGACTTGTAATTCAGGCGAACAGATCCCAGGCTCCTCTCCAAATCACATCCATCCATTTCAAACAGGATTCACCACTCTAAGGGTCACATGACTCAGACTTCCTCCTTGGCGGCTAACTATCCCAGCATCCTCTAAACCCACAAAAAGGAATCATTAGACACTACATGTGACCAAACTATAATGGAAAAACATACTCCATTCTCGGGTGAGATTTATGCTCAAAGACTGAAGCTAGACAAAGAAGTCTGGAAAGCTCCCTAGTCCCATGAGAGATCTAATCCCATCAGCATCGACTTAATGCTAATTTTTGATGTCGGACAAGTTAATTCACCTATTTCAGATAACCAAACAAAAAGAAAAAAAGAAAAAAAAATAGAACAAAACAGCAAAACACTTGTCATATAAGATGAAAGAAAAAATAAACAAGCAAAAACCAGTACAACTTATCCCAGGACTGAAAGGTTGGTTTAACATCTGAAAATCAATTAATGTAATACATATTATTAATAGGAAAAAGAATAAAAACACATGACAATCTTAATAGATGCAGAAGAAAGCATTTGACAAAATCCAATACCTTTTCACGATAAAAACACTCAACAGACAAGTAATAGAAGGGAACTTCTTCATATAATAATTGCCTCAAATAGTTGCCTAATCAAGAGCAATCCATAGCTAATTTCATACATAATGGTAAAAGACTTAATTCTTTCTCCCTAAGATCAAGAACATGATAAGGATGTCCACTTCATCATTTCTATTCAACATTGTACTGGGTGTTCTACCCAGGGCAACTAGGTAAGGAAAAGAAATAAAAGGCATCTAACTTGGAAAGGAAGAAGTAAAACTATCTCCATTTGCAAATGAGAATATCTTACATATAAAAAAAGCCCTAAGATACCCCCTAAAAAACTATTAGAAGTAAAATATGAGTTCAGAAGTTTGCAAGACACAAGAGCAATATACAAAAATCAATTGTATTTCTATACACTTAGGATAAACTGAAAATAAAATTAAGGAAACAACTCTATTTAAAACAGCATCAAAAAGAATGAAATATTTTGGAATAAATTTAACAAAGAAAGTACAAATTTTATTCTCTGAGAACTATATAACACTGCTGAAAGACATTAAAGACTTGAATGAAAATGATATCTCATGGTCATGAATCAGAAGGCAATAAATGACCTACAGATACAATGCAATCCTTATCAAAATCTCTGCTGGCTTATTGGCAGAAAGGTGATCTTAATAGTTGTATATGAAAAAAATGAAACAATAACAAAATATTTTGAAAAAAAAAACTAAGTTGGAGGGTTCACACTTTCCAACTTCATAATTTACTACAAAGCTACAGTAATCAAGACAGATTGTAGTGATAGAAGGATAGATTCATGAAGCAGAACTGAGAGTTCATAAATAAACCCCTACATTAATGGTGAATCAATTTTCAACAAGTGTCAAATCAATTCAATAATGTCAATAATTTTATGAACAAATATATAACGGGATAACTGGATATCCTCATGCAAAAGAATGAAATTGGACCTCTATCTAACACCATACACAAAAATTAACTCAAAATAGATCACAGACCTAAATGTAAGAACTAAAACAATAAAACTTTTAGAACACACATGCATAAATCATTGTGATCTTGGATCAAGAATAGGAGAAAGCAACAAAAGAAAAAGTAGATGAATTAGACTTCATCAAAATTCAAAATTTTTGTGCTGCAAAAAAAACCCACCAAGAAAGTGAAAAGATAATCCTCAGAATGGGAGAAAATATTTGCAATTCTTATGTGTAATAAGGGACCTGTATGTTGAATATATTAATAACCCTAACTCAATAATCAAAAGATAAATAACCCAATTACAAAATGGGCAAAGGATCTCAAAAGACAATTTAGTATATGAAAAGATGGTAACATTATTAACCATCAAGAAAATGCAAATTAAAACCACATGAGATATCACTTCACACACAATAAGATAGCTATAATTAGAGACAGATAATGACAAGTGTTTGAGGATGTGAAAAAATTCAAACTCTTATATACCATTGGTAGGAACATAAAATGGTGCAGGTGCTTTGGAAAACGGTTTTCAGCTCCTCAGATTGTTCAACAACCACATGACCCAGCAAATCCAATCCTAGATATATACCCAACAAAAATGGAAACACACATCCACAGAAAAATTTGTAAACAAATAGTCATAGCAGCATTATTCATAATAGCCAATTAGTAGAAATGTAATAGCCAAATGTTTATAGTTGATAAATGGGTAAATGAAAAGTGGTATATCCATTGGGTAGAATATTATCCAGCAATAAAAAGCAATAAAGTACTGATACATGCTACATGGATCAATCTTAAAAAAATGAAAGACTCAAATCACACACACATACACACACACACAAAACCCATCTATTGTATGATTCCATTCATATGAAAAGTCCAGAATAAGCAAATCCATAGAGAAATGAAAGTAAGTTGATGATTGCCTAAGGCTGAAGGAGGAAAGAATGGTAAGTGACCATGAATGGGCATGGATTTTTTTTTTAATTAAAAAACTTTAGTTGTGCTATAAAAAACAACCTAGAGTTTACCAGTGACTATTTTTTAAGTGTACAGTTCAGTAGTGTTTAGTATATTCACATTATTGTAAAACAGATCTCCAGAATATTTTCATCTTGTAAAACTGAAACATTACCTGTTAAACAACTTCCCATTGTCCCTTCCTCCTAGACCTTGGCCACCATTCTTCTACTTCCTCTCTCTGTGAATTTGACCACTCTAGCCTCCTTACATGGGTGGAATCAGAGTGTTCCTTTTGTGACCTGTTTACTTCGTGTTGCATTATGTCCTTAAGGCTCATACATATTACAGCATTTAACAGGGTTTCTTTCCTTTTTAAGATGGAGTAATATTCCATTGTATATATAAATGACATTTTGTCTCCCCATTCATCTGTTGATGGACACTTGGGTTTTTCCACCTTTTGGCTATTATGAGTAATGCTGCTATGAACATAGGGGTGCAAATGAATGTTTGAGCTTCTGCTTTCAATTATCTGGGATTAATATGCAGAAGTGGGATTGTTGGCTCATGGGAGCATCTCTTCAGAGTGACAGAAGTGTTCTAGAATTTGACAGCAGTGATGGTGGCACAACCCTAGAATATACTAAGAACCACTGAATTGTACATTTGAAATGCATGAATCATATGGTACGTGAATTAAATCTCAAAGCTGTTAAAAAAATAAAACTCTTACAGGCTCTATCAAGGAAATAGTTACTTAAGAATTTTGACTGAGCTAGATAATTAATATGGTTAAATTACCAGTCAGTCTGGTCACACAGGTAATTTTGATTCTTATTTTCAATGACTTACCTAGATGTTTAGGTGGTTTTTAAGACATACTTAAGTGATTCTTCAACATTGATCAGGAGAGGAAGTAAGAAAAAGAAACTGTCAGCATCTGTCTTTTAATTCACAGTATTAAATCATTTCATATTTTGTATCTGGAAATACTTGAATAACAAATTTGACTTCCATGAGATGGTGATGTAGTAAGATCCTGACAGAGCTCACTTCCTCCCATAGACACACCACTATCTTACACCATATACAGAAATCAATTCAAAATGGATTAAAGACTTGAATGTAAGATTTGAAACCATATACATCCTACAAGAAAACATGTGTCGAGTTCCTTGACATCAGCTCAGTGATTTTATTTTTCGATGTGACTCTGAAGGCGAGAGAAACAAAAACAATAATAAACAAATGGGATTATATCAAACTAAAAAGCTTTTGCAGTGAAGGAAACTATCAATAAAATGAAAAGGCAACCTACTGAATGGGAGAAGACATTTGCAAATCATATATCCAATAAGGAGTTAATACACAAAATATGTTAAGAACTCATAAAACTCAATACTAATAAAAAAATACCCCCAAAATGGCAGAAGATCTGAATAGACATTTTCCAAAAAAAGAAATACAGATGTTCAACAGGCACACAAGGAGATGCTCAGCAGCACTAATAATTGGAAATTCAAATCAAACCTCAATGAGATTTCACCTTACACTTGTCAAAATGGCTACTATCCAAAAGATAAGAAATAGCAAGTGTTGGTGAGGATGTAGAGAAAAGGGAACCCTCCTACACTGTTGGTGGGAATGTAAATTGGTCCAGCCACTATGGCAAAAAGTATGGAGGGTCCTCAAAAAACTAAAAAAAACTACTACCACACAATCCAGCAGTCCTGCTCCTGGGTATCCATCCAAAGAAAACAAAACAAAACACTAATTCAAAAAGATGTATGCATCCGTATGTTCATTGCAGCATATTTATAATAGCCAAGATATGGAAACAACCTAAGTGTCTATCAATGGCTGAAAGGATTAAGAAGATACAATATATATATGCAGTAAAAATATATACACATACAATGGATTACTACTCAGCCATAAAAAGGAATGAAATCTTGTGATCTGCAACAAGATGGACCTTGAAGGCATTACACTAAGTGAAATATATCAGACAGAGAGAGAGAAATAACATGATTTCACTTATATATGCAATCTAAAACAAACAAACAAAACTCAGACTCAAGAAATATAGAGAACAGATTGTGGTTGCCAGGGGAAGTGGGTTGGGGGTGGGGATGGTGAAATAGGTGAAATAGGTGAAATAGGATCAAGAAGTAGAAACTGCCAGTTATAAAATGAGTAAGTCATAGGGATTAATAGATAGCATGGGGAAATAGTCAATAATGTTGTATTAACTTTGTATAATAGGGGGACAGATGGTTACTGGATTTATTGTGGTGATCATTTCACAATATAGCCAAATATCAAATCCTTATGTTGTACATCTGAAATTAATACAAGTGTGTGTCAATTATATCTCAATTTAAAAAAAAGAAAAAGAACAACAAATTTACATTAACAATAGCAATTTTTATTTCATCTGCTCTGTAGGTGTACCATTCACCAGATTTTGTACAGATAGGGAAATAAGGCAAGGCTCTATTCATTTTGACTTCAGATTCACTTTTTGAAATGTCATTCCAAATTATTTCACACAGAAGATGCTCAAAAGACAGAGGGCTAGAGGGCTTATTTGCCTTTTGTTTTTTTTGCAATAAACAATTATAAAATTAAAAAGTTTCATGCCCAGTGTCACTGAATGGGGAAAGGTAATAAATTTTTAAAAAGGAGAGAAAAATTTTAAGATAAAAAATGTATCATTTCAACTCTTCTCAACTGTTATCCACAACTAGAAAAGATAACAGCAATACAGATGGCCACTGATGAGCAGAAACCCATTTCATCATCATCTTTTGTTTCATTCAGATATTCAATTTTGACAAGATTCAAAGACAGTTTTAGAAAGTCAATAAGTGAGATAATCTCAAAAGATTTCTTATGATCTCCTCTGATCAGAACATAGTAAAGTAAGAGAAACCTTACTGGTCTGACTGATCATCTTTAAAATAATAGGCTCCATATGCTTTACAGCAAAGTCACAAGTTTAGAAGTCAACTTTCAATCTTGCTCCCAAGTGGAAATTCAAACAGTCTAATTATAGAGATAGCTGTTAGGTGGGACAGTCTTTCTTTCTTCTTTCTACGCTGCATGTTTTATGCACTTTAACAGCTTTTCCTAAATAATCTCCTGGGGTTGTTTAAGTGCAGGCTGAAATATGGTCGATTTCAAATTCTTATTTTGGATTTTTCAAACTCCATCTGTGTGCATAAGCGAAATTGAGAATGGCGACTCAAAGAGCTGAGCTCTCCTCAGGGATATCACAGGAATTGATGACTGAATGCAGTGCCCGCATATATGCTGCAAATAAAGGTTTGCATAGTGATGAATGAAGTCAGATTTTAAACAACTTTCCCAGTCTCCTCCCTCTTAGCACTGCTTCTCTACCCAGTACAAACTTTATCCACTGAATAAACATTTATTGAGTACTTACTGCATGCCAAACACTCCATGGGGAAAGAAATGATCATGGAGAGGATGGACACAAAAATAGCAAAACTGCACTGTAATACTTCCAAACCAGAGACACATACAGAATGTCATCACAGAATGAAGTTTGGAATGGATGAAGAACAATCTAGTAGGGTAGAAAAGATTTTTGTAAGTAGTAATATTTGAGATGGACTTAAAGGATTAATAAGAATAAAGGAAGGGAGGCAAAGCAGAGAAATGAGTGAGTGAGGTGCACAAGGTGTAAGAAAATGACATGTCTTGGGTTAGCAAGTTTGATGAGGCCGGAGTGTCACTTGGGGCAGCATATATGTGGGTACTACATTCAGACAGATCATATGCCAAATATGCCATGCATTTTGTGCTATCATGTCAAACTCATTTCAGGATAGGGGAATGGCATGATTTTTTTAAAAAATATAACTCATAGTTTATCATAATTGATAAACTCACATCACACTAGGGGCACTAGGAATATAAATGCTGACAGTATTTTTACTGTACGCATGCAGCATAAATAATCTTATTACTATGTAATCAATATATTTAACAATGGACAGGTAACAGAAACATTAGTGAGAACAGAAAGGATTCCATTTTTTTTCTAGCTGGGATTTCTGATAAGATAGAGTTTATACTGGTCTGAATCATTTTCCTCAGTGCCCCCTGATAGAATAATGTGGATATACAGGGTAATAAATCTGTGCTAGATAACTTTAAAGTATTTGGATAGCAGGAAATTCAACTGCACAGAAGCCTAACTTGAATGGCTATAAAAGGCAAACTAATATTCTTCATTTCCAAGAAGACTTGGAACCCAGGTCTGTACAGCAGAGCGAGCTGGGAACATCCCCAGTACAAATGCAGACAGGAAGGTAACAGGCCTCAAAGAGAAATATAACTCACTGTAATTATTTTTACTGAATCAGAGTTATTTTGTAAAAGGGTTATAACAATCTCTGATATACAGTAAGCACTCAATAAACGCTAATTTAATATTATTACTACTTTTGTTGTTGTTGTTTTAGTAGCCACCAGGCTCCAACCATTTCTTCAAGAAACTTACCTCTGTGGTTTTTATAGAAAATACAATTGTTGGCACAGGTGTCAGGATGGGCATCCCAAAAACCAGGACCACAGCAGCACAGTGCAGGTAACGTGACATTGTACAGCCGCATTTTCTCCTGGATCTGGACTCTTAAAGCTTCTACGTATCTATAAAAATACAGCATGATCAGGAAAAGAGAATCACTAGGAAGGCGATGAGCATGAGTCCTTATTTTATTCCCAGCTTTAACTGTTAAAACTATTTCATATCTTTGTGCCTCAACTCTTCCACTTTGTACTGGGGAGCACCACTGGGAAAACCGTAATGCTCTCCCCAAGAAGTATAAGGCAAGAAGTCTGTACCCCCAAAAGCAAGAAAAGACACAGTCAGCTCTCTTGTAAGGAAAATGAGAACATTGACGCATAACAAGTCCCCTCCAGAGGCAGAAGTTCACGCAAAACATTTCCGAGCACCTCTGGAATTCCTTGTCTTTCTGTTGTTGCTGTTTTTCTCTGGCTCCTTTGATTTCCTCAAGTTGTAACTGAGCTAATTTATCACTCATATTCTCCCCTGAACATGGCTCTTCTTGCAAGTTCATTCTTAATATCCTCTGCTCTTCAGCATGATGTTGTTGCTCTTTCTTTTTCTTAATTCTGAAAATAAAATCATGGTATGACTAGGAATTTCACAAAATCATTACTAAGAATTAGCTTCTACCTCCAAATAACTAAAGAAATTCCCAGAAACAAGAGAGTCAAGGCAATCAGTTTAACACCCCTAGAATAGTCTCAAACATTCCTGCTGGCTGACTTGACTTTATCCTGCAGCTCATGTATGTACATGGCCTCTCAGATGGAATGACCACTGGTTCTGTAAGGACACACGCAAGAGCTTTCTTGGGTAGACAGGACTTCTGCTTTTAGCAAAAATGTTGTAAAAGGGACCAGATCTGCCCTCCTACCTTAAACAGACAAAGAAATAAATAATCAAATCAACTAACAAGACAAAATACAAAAAAGAATGATTTTTCAGACTCTGGACATCAGGCAACAAAAAACTGTGATCTCTGACAGATGGGAAACAAATGAAAGACTGCCAGAGCTTACTGACTTGGGAAGGTTTCTGGGCAGCAGCACAGGGCAGGGGAGTTGAGGTAGTGCCTGGTGGGCTCCCTGAGTTGAGGAGATGGAGCTGAAAGTGCAGGGACACAAAGGCAGCTACAGATCATAAGACAGAATAGGATAGAGGAGAGAGCTGCTCAGAAAGAGAACCCCCGAGATCTGCAAAGGGTCTCCTAATATACAGCACAGCACTGCACATGTGTGTGAGGAAATGACATGAGGCTAAGGACAGAGCCATCCAACAGGGTCACAAGGAACAGTGCCTGCACTCACACAGCAGGGAATAGTGCCTGTTCCCACCAGTCAGACTTCGCTGGTCAGGCCCTGGGTAGAGTTTTCAGGAAGAGCTTATCTCAGTAGTGTAGAATAATGATTAGTCCTACACTGAGCACTGCCCCAGACACACCTAACACACTGTGAAAGCAAAGCCCCAAAGTAACCTAACTGCATCTCAAAACAAAGCTCAGGAATATTTACAAAAATACAAAAATATCCAGCAGCCAACAAAGTAGAATTCACAATGTTGAACATCTAATCAAAGATTAACAGGCATACAAAGGTGCAGGAAAACACCTCATAATGAAGAGAATAATCAAACAAAATCAACCTAGAACTGATAGTTACTAGAATTAACACAGGACATTAAAATTGTCATTACATTCTACAAGTTCAAAAGCATAAGATACAAAAAAGATTGAAATCAAATTTCTCAAGAAAACAATTTCTGAGAAAAAAATACACTGGAGAATAAGCCTCTATCTACTAAAGCAATGGAATCACTAGTTAATTTTCCAAAACAGAAAGCACCAGACAATATGGGTTCACCAAGAAGGATGAATTATACCAATTCTCTACAACTTTGTTCAGAGGATAGAAACTGAAGCAATATTTCTTAACCTCATGATAGAGGCCAGCACTACCTTAATTCCAAAGGCAGACAAAGATAATACAAGAAAATAAAACTACAGACCAGTATTTCTCATGAACATAAAGGCAAAAATCCTTAAAAATATTAGCAAATTAAGTCCAACAATGTACAAAAAGAATTATATGTGATGACCAAGAAGGATTTATCCCAGGAATGCAAGGCTGGTTCAACATGAAAAAAATCAGTTGATGTAATCTATCACATTAACAGGCTAAATAAGAAAAATCACATGATCCTATAAATAGATGCAGAAAAAGCATTTGACAAAATACAATACCATTTATGATAAAAACTCTCAGTAAACTAGGAATGAAGGGGAACCTCCTAACTTGATAAAGAATGTCTACAAAAAATCTACAGTTAACATCATCCTCAAACGTGAGAAACTAGACACTATGCCACTAGTATCAGGAACAAGGTAAGGATGTCCCCTCTCACCACTCCTTCTCAACACAGTATTAGAAAGTACTAGCTAATGCAATAAGGCAAAAATAAGAGATAAAAGGTATACAAATTGGAAAGGAATAAATAAAACTGTCTTTGTTCCCACGTGACATGGTTATCTATGTTCTTCCCAACCTGATCTATAGATTCAATGTGATCGCAATAAAAATCCCAGCAAATTATTTTATGGATGTTGACAATTTCATTCTAAAGTTTATATGGAGAGGCAAAATTCCCAGAATAGCCAACTCAATATTGAAGATGTTGGAGGACAGACACTACTTGACTTCAAGACTCACCACAAAGTTAGCAGTTATCAAGACAGTGTGGTAATTGGTTAAAGAACAGACAAATGAACAGTAAGACAGAACAGAGAGCCCAGAAATAGAGCCACATAAATATACTGATCTTTGACAAAGGAGCAGAGGCAATACATGGAGCAAAGATAGGCTTTTCAACAAATGGTAAGGGAACAACTGAACATGCATGTGCAAAAAAAAATAGATGCAGACACAGACCTTAACCCCTCACAAAAATTAACTCAAAACAGGCCATAGAGCTAAATGTAAAACATAAAACTATAAAACTCCTAAAGGATACATTAGGAGAAAATCCAGACTATCTTGGGTATAGTGATGGACTTTCTGGATATAATACTAAAGGCAAGATCCATAAAAGAAACAGTTGATAAGCTGGACTCCATTAAAATAAAAAACTTCAGCTCTTCAAAAGACACTGTCAAAAGACTGAGAAGATAAGCCACAGACCAGCAGAAAATATCTGCGAGACACATCTGATAAAGGATTGTTATCCAAAATATACAAAGAACTCTTAAAACTCAATAATAAGAAAACAAACCTAATTAAAAAATGGACCAAAGACCTGAAGAGAATCTCAGCAAAGATATACAGATAGCAAATAAGTATATGAAAAGATGATTCACATCCTATGTTATGAGAAAAATACAAATTAAAATAGCGATGATACCACTGCACACCTACTAGCATGGCCAGAATCTAAAACACTGACAATATCAAATGCTGACAAAGATGTGGAGCAAGAAGAACCTTCATTCTTTGCTGGGAGGAATACAAAATGGCACAGCCACCTTTCTAAACATACTCTTACCATATGTCCAGCAATCATGCTACTTTGTATTTACCCAAAGGAATTAAAAGCATGTCTGCACAAAACCAGCACATGGATGTTTATAACATTTTAATTTATAAATCCTGTATCATGGAGGAAACAAAAACGTCCTTTAGGAGGTGAATGGATAAGCAAAGTGATACCTCCAGGCGATAGAGTATGATTCAGTGCTAAGAAGAAATGAGCTACCAAGACATGAAGAGATGTGGAGGAAATTAAATGTGTATTACTAAGTGAAAGAAGCCAGTTTGAAAAGGCTATATATTGTATGATTCCAACTATATGACATTCTGGAAATGGCAAACAACAGAAACAGTGAAAAGATCAGTGGTTGCCAAAAATTGGGAGAGCGGGGGGAAGAGGGATGTATAGGCAGAGCACAGAAGACTTTCAGGGCAGTAAAACTATACTGTCTGGCAATATAATGATGGATACATGTCATTATACATTTGTCCAAACCTATAAATGTTCAACACCGAATGTAAACTATGGACTTTGGGTGATAATGATGTCAGTGTAGGGTCATCATTTGTAACAAATGTACCACACTGTGGGGGGAGGTGTTGATAATGGAAAAGCCTCTGAATGTCAGGGTGCAGGAATTATATGGGAAATTGCTGTAGCTTCCCCCCAATTTTGCTGTGAACCTAAAACTGCTCTATAAAACAAAATCTTTATAAAAAGTACACTGTTAGATGACTAGCAGATTAAATATTGCAAAACTAAATCTGAAAGTATAACAATGCAAATGATCTAAAACAAACCACAGAAAAAATAATCCAAAAAAGTTAAAAGAGCACAAAAAGCAAATAATTCAAGAAAAATTGGGTAAAGAACTTAGATATTTCTTGAAAGATCTATAACCAACAAGCATATTAAAAGGTGCTTAACATCACTACTCATTAGGAAAATGTAAACCAAAACCTTAATGAGATATCACCTCACACCCCACTATCAAATAAACAGAAAATTACCAGTGTTGACAAGGATTGAGAAATTAGAACCCTTGTGCTGGGATTAAATTGGTACAACCACTATGGAAAACAGTATGGAGGCTCCCCAAGAAATTAAAAATAGAATGACAGATGATCTGGCAATCCCTCTTCTGATATATAACCAAAATAATCGCTAGCAGTGTCTTGAAAACATATCTGCACATCCATGTTCACTGCAGCACTAATTCACACGAGCCAAGAGGTGGAAGCAACCCCAGTGTTCATCTACAGAGAAAGGGACAGACAACATGTGGTATACACATACAATAGAATATCAACATTAATCAGACTTAAAAAGGAAAGAAATCCTGTCAGAAGCTATAATATGGATGATCCGTAAGGACATTATGCTAAGCCAAATAAGCCAGTCACAAAAAAGACAAATACCGTATGATTATGCTTTTATGAGGCTCTAAAGTAGTCAAATTCATAGAAACAGAAAGTAGAACGGTAATTACCAGAGGCTGGGGTTGGGAGCAAAGGGAAGTTGTTGCTTAATGGGCACAGAGTTTCAGATTTGCAAGATGAAAAAGTTCCAGAGATTTGTTTCACAACAATGTAAATATAACTTATTTATTAACATTACTGAACTATATGCTTAAAAATAGTTACAATGGCTAATTTCATGTTACATATTTTTTACCACCAAAAAATAAATAAACGGGGAAAAGAGAAAAAATGAAATTAAGTTGCTTATAGACATACAAAAGTTGAATACCCAGTATATCCACAACTGTAAGAAATATTAAAGACTGTCTTTCAAGCAGGAGCAAAATGATACTTTAGGTAATACATGTAATACATGTAACATTTTTCTTATTATTTAGACCTCTTTAAATAATAATACTGTTCTAACAGAAAAAATCATTTTTATAGTATTTTTTTAAGTGTTATTGATATACAATCTTATGAAGGTGTCACATGAACAACATTGAGGTTTCAACTTTCACTCCTATTATCAAGTCCTCACCACTCCCCACTGCCATCACTGCCATCAGCATAGTAAGATGCTGTAG